ACCCGGGAAGTAACTCGTTGTAGTCCCTACCAGCCGTTTTTGTAGGCATTAAACTGCCAGAATTTTAAAAGACGATATCTCCATTTGTATTGAACTTTCAGCTTTGTAACTTTGCAGATATTGTTTATGCTCAAACAACAACATTAGACACTAACTAATGTTAAAAAACTGAAATCGCAATCAACCACCCCTTTAATATTTTTATCATTATATATTTGATATATTAAAGGTATATTTCATTATAAGCTCTTCAGATAACATTTCATAGAAATCATGTTTTCCCCTTGTATGTATTTCTTGTATTTTAGTCTTTCTGCTGTGATCATGTGTGATGCATTATATGCAATTACTTTTCATTTCGAATCACTGGGAAGTCGCTTTGGGGAGAAAGTGAGTTTTGTTTCTCTGAATATCCTGTGGTTTTCTGGTTATCCATTGTCACTGGTAAGCAGCCTCTGAGCTGGCTCAGTACAGACTCACTCTTTACTTCTCTGATAAAGGGGATTTGACCTGTCAGTCAGGCATCTTATCAGGAACAGGGACAGTTAGCACAGGAGAGAGAATGTTGATCCAGGAGGGTCTGAATAATGCATAACTTTCACCTCATTGTATGTGAAAAAATCACGCTGTCAAAATATTCTTTTCAAACCATCACAGTCAAAGTCCTAGCGTTCTTTCAAACCCGATTGGCTTAACATGTTCCGAAATAACCCATTTTCTTTGGTTACTGATATCAAAAGCTGTGTATTACATGTATAAAATGTTTCAACTTTATTGTCATTAAGTTAAAACTTGCTATCTGGTAAAAAACCAGTGAACCGTAAAAAGTATATTTATTTATGTGTTTGTTTTGTGGTTCACATTAGATTCTTATGACTGTGAAACAACAAAATGATACAGTAAAATTGCTGTAATACAATGATACCAAGCCAATGTAAATTAAAGATATAATTTTCTTCAGATTATTATTTTTTTTTGGACTGTACTGTCCGATGTGTTTCTTTGACTAATCAAATTAAGCATAATCTTAAACTTAAAACATATAGGTTAGTCCACCATTACAGTAAATTTGAATAATCTTATCAAACAGGAATTGTAGGATTATATCAGAGCATGTGAACTGTTTATCATGACATATAATTAGTCTTCTCTGTTTTCTCAGGCGGCAAAACTACCTATGTCCATCATTATTGTTGGAGTTGGCCAAGCTGAATTTGATGGTAAGACCTGAAACTAATCTTATTTAGTTTCATCTTTATGTCTTCTTCTATATCCTCATTCTCTTTTCTGTTTAATTAGTCTTATTATATTTCATGCACTGCAATCATAAAAAGAACATGTACTGCATAACCCTTTACTGCTTTTTTTTGTATTGTACTCAGCATCTTCCTAACTGTTTCTTAACTATCAACTCAGCTAATAACAGTATTCCCACATGGAGGGTTAAAACTTGAATGCATTAATGCAACTTCACAGTTTGCACTCATGTAAAGTAGAGTTTCTGGATGAAAAGTCACCTAATTGGGAAGGTTTAGGGTTTCGGACTGATAAGCAGATGTCAACACGCAGATCTCACAGCTGTTCAATATAATTAGCATGTCCCACCATCTGCTATTAGTATTTGTGTTGGGCCTTTCATAATGTTCCAGCAAGGAGGTAAATGTTGGTGTCATGCTGGGGTGAAAGGCTCCAGATTGTTTTATTGGCTGAAGGACAGATAACATGATGATCTCACTTTTTAGCCATGGTAGAACTGGACGGCGATGATGTAAGAATATCCTCCAGAGGAAAGCTGGCAGAGAGGGATATTGTACAGGTACATATCTCTATATATTTGTATATGTATGAATTTATGTTTGACAAGTGACACATAATAACTGACAAGTGGTCAGTTATTCAGAAACAAAACAATGCCTGAGTCACAAATCATTCACTCAACTCATTCAAAAACACTGAAATCAGTCCGGAACACCATATACGCATATATATATATATATATATATATATATATATATGTATAATATGCACTCATCTCAGCAAAATATGTAGCTTAAGGAGTGTCAAAGTAATATAACTGTTTGGGGAAGTTTCTTAAGGAATAACTTTTGGTGACCTACATTTACAGGCATCTCAGATTTAGAGAACACTGAGACATCACACTTGAAAAAAATAACTCAAGCTAACAAACAACAACAAGGCTTGTGCAGCCTGTAAATAATGAAAGAATCCAGAGTATTTTTTGTGAAACAACCAGGTTACATTGTTTACATGGGTATTTCAGTTAACTACACTAAAAAAAGGGAAATGATTCAGGGAATAAATAAACACCTATAACTAACTACTTTATAATCTGATCTGTGCCTGCAGTTCGTTCCATTCAGAGACTACATGGACAGGACAGGAAACCATGTCCTGAGCATGGCACGGCTTGCCAAGGATGTCCTGGCCGAGATCCCAGATCAGTTAATCTTATATATGAAGTCAAGGGGCATCAAGCCCAACCAGACACCACCAGACTACAGCCCACCTGGGCTCAGCCCAACCCCCACCGTATGAGTTTATCCAGTCTGCTGAAAGAAAACAGGCGATGCTATGTCACCACCAATTTGGATCTCATTCAAAGCCAATACAACTGATTCAGTGTGAGGCATCTAGGAAAGTGGATGGTTTCAATTCCCAGTTTTTGGATCTAATACACTGGAGAAATTGAAAACTGTATGTGTGTTCTGGAGTTTGAACTGTAAAGGACGGTTCTTATTGGTTTGTGAGTTTGTTTCCCCCCTCATAATTTCTTTACAAATTAGCCAACACTATGAAAATTTATAGTTTGGATCAGTCTCATTCAGATTCATACGTCCAACTGTGCTGGATATATGGAGAGTATCTGCGCAAGCAATGCAATTTTCTGCTTATTTAACATCTCTAACATTTCAACATCTAAAAAACGCTATAACACATCAGCATGTGAGGACTTCCTCGTATCCACCAGAGGAGGTAAAACAAGAGCATCACTAGAAAATGTGATTTAAAAACAAATAGTGAAATTGTAAGTGGTTGTTTGAAATATTATACCCTGAATGGGTAATTTGTTTAGTGAAATTGTTTGATTTGTTTCTAGAATTTGTAGATGGTTTGTGTTATGGTGGTATTATTTTTCCACAGGGTTTTGAGCAAAGTCTTTTTAGTACAAAGTAATATTTCCCATTGCGGATTCCCATTCATAGCTTTTTAGAGCTATGATAAACAAGATTTTCTATTCTTAAGCATGAAACTGCGCAAGCAATGCAATTTTCTGCTTATTTAACATCTCTAACATTTCAACATCTAAAAAACGCTATAACACATCAGCATGTGAGGACTTCCTCGTATCCACCAGAGGAGGTAAAACAAGAGCATCACTAGAAAATGTGATTTAAAAACAAATAGTGAAATTGTAAGTGGTTGTTTGAAATATTATACCCTGAATGGGTAATTTGTTTAGTGAAATTGTTTGATTTGTTTCTAGAATTTGTAGATGGTTTGTGTTATGGTGGTATTATTTTTCCAGTATTATTATTTTTAGTCTTTTTAGTACAAAGTAATATTTCCCATTGCGGATTCCCATTCATAGCTTTTTAGAGCTATGATAAACAAGATTTTCTATTCTTAAGCATGAAATCCAGGTAAAACCAATTGTACATTGCATTAATACATTGTATTAAATGTATTTACATACTTCAGATGAAATCAGTTAAGAAAAATCCAGTGTAAAAGTGAAAAGCACAAATATTTTCTTAAAGCTGTAAAATTTGTAAATGTTAATCAGAGGTCACAAATTCAGATTCATTACACTGTAAACAGACTGAAATTTCAGGCACAATCAGCTCTCAAGAACACCAAATTTACTTTCCAGCACAGTTGAATTTGTCCCTCCAATTCCTTGCTCTGGAGCCGGTATATCTTGATGTGAGCACATGTGAGCTATCAGGGGAAACACGAGAGATTCCTCGCCACTCGATGCTAAAGATGATTGGAGATGAGGCAGCGTCTGCTGTTTTTCTTAAAGCACTGTCTGACTCACCTGCAGCTGCCCGTGTCCAGCCTGAACCTTTGCCCTTTCATTCCCTGGATTCACCCTGGAGTTTAAAACACTTTTCTATTCTTCACCATGGCAGGAATTATTTTACTGGTTTCAAAAGATGAAAGACACATTGCATGCAGCTGAAATTGCATTACCCGCAGCACAAACATAATGCCATTTTGTTTAAATGTTCTAGCTTTGAATCATTTATAGCATTGGCATACTGACAGGATAGGCATTGAACACAATTATTTTAATAAACTTGCCTTACATACAGTAAGTTTACATTAAAGGTTGATAGCAAGCATAAATTAGAAACAGTATTTTATATGCAGTATTATTACTAAGGAAGCGCATATTGATTTCCTTTCTAATTTTACAACCTTTTTAAAGGCTTAAGACGTTCAGTTAAACCTCAAAACATTTACTTGTTTAGCATACACAGCCTTGTATACAGCCTCTTTTGTCTGAGGTTCATTTTGAAAATTAATAATAATCACTATTCTCAGACAAATCTGTATGTATCAGTAAATACTGACTGTCTTGCTTTTTTTTTTTGGACAGCAGGGCCGTTTATACTTGTTCTTACTCAGTTTTGATACATTTTCTCCTTGTCCAGTAAATTTTGACATCTCTGCTTGTTTGTCCCAAGTTGTACCAGTGTTTTGGTTTTACAACATCTATCTGTTAATATAATGTAGATTATGAACTGTGAAGATTAACTGCAGTTTTATTTTTAAATCTCCACTGGTCCTCAAACTACTAATTTGTAAGTGAGCACAGATGCTTACAAAATGTGATTGCCTCCTATTTAACCCACTTTTACAACATGAATGAGAATGTTCTTTCACAAAGATTGTTAAATTTAGAAAATCTGCTCCCGGATTGCAAGACAATGTGTTTAAGCACACCTTTCTTTTACCGTGTTATTAGCACACCTGGAGTTACTGAGAATGAAGTGATCCATCAATCAATTAGGAGGTGACGATTAAGCCTGGAAAGGGAGCATTGGGTGAAAGGGTCTGTTTGAGAGAGTTAACAGGTGTATTGATTTTAAAGGCTTATTTACTCTTCACTGGATATTGTTAATGGCTAGTTAATAACTAGTAGATAATAGTCCTTTTATTGTTGAGAAGAGAGTCTTTTTTTGTTTTTAAAGTGTTTTTTTTTTCAAGGGGCTTTCTATTGCATTCTGTTTCTCAAATGTAAACCTGGAAATTCTACTTGCATAAACATAACCTTTTTTAATCCAATTTAATATTTATGAACGCATTGCTGCTAGGTCGCTTGTAAATCCAAGAACAAATTACAAGCATCCTGAAACACATGTATATCACGCTCCAGAGAATGCTAATGGGTTAATTTTATGGCTTGGTGTAAATTTAGCAAATACTGTTTTTCCCCCACTATAATAAAGGCAGTAAGTCATATAGTAGTGCACAAAAACATTGCAAAGAGGTAATAGTAGAAAAGGTATAAATTATGTGTTAAAGATATGGCCCTTGTCCAGTGCCAGCATTCCCTCTGTGAGATATGCATGATCGTGCCAAAATGGCAGACGGGTTCAGTGACAAACTGGCCTATTGCTCTGTGTTTAGCCTCTGCTGCTCGCCTCATAACTGACACACAGAGCGTGACGCATCCCATCCTTGTTGGATTCCTTTTCCTTCTCTCTTTTTCTCTTCTTCTTTACCTCTTTTTATCTCAGTCGATATGCATGGTGAGCTATTTCCAAACCGAACATAGAACATTGCTGTTGTCATTCCCGTGGTCTGTGAAATTTGTAATGATTGCCTTAAAAATGACAATGAATAAAACAATGATAACGTTTTTCGAGAAGATCAGACAGAGATTTTTTTGTATGCATGAGTTTCTTCTTTATGAATACCCCATCAGTTACAAACTGTAGCAGTCTATTACAAACCGAAGCAGCCTTTAATGGGAGAGCAGAGATTTTCTCATTAATTCATGTTAGATGCCACGGCTGGGCCTTCCAGAGGCAGGTGTGCATTTACATAAGTCCATTCGCTTTAGTTCCTTTGGGTTTGTTACATTCATTCTGAGTGATTAGTCACTATTCTCTCTGGTCACGGTGTTTAGATGATGTACATGGGTGAGTTTCCTCTCCTCAAAGGATAAAAATACCATTAAATGTCAGTAGATAGTTTTTTTTGGGCTGACACTGCAAAAGTTCCAATCTATGCTCTGTTCATTATGTTTACTTGCTAGTTGCTGAATGCTAAACAATTGCAATTAGTGTGGTCGATTTTGTTTAGGCTAAAATAGACTGACTACAAAGGGCCATCTTGATGCAAATAGAAAAGTAAACTCTAAGTTGAGAGAATTTAACTAAGTGACAAGTATTGTTTCGACTGGTCCTTTAATCAAATTTTTTTTTTGTCATTGCCGAACAGCAGCAATGAAGAGAACTCGCCGTCCAATCAGTTGGCTTCCTGGGGCTGGTTGGTGTGTTTCCTTCCTCAAAGAGCACCTACAGAATTGAATAAGATTCACTTCTGATACATCAGCTGCATCACCTGAATTGAAGGAAGGAAGGATGGGGGTGGGGGAGATATATTGCTGATACCAAGTTTATTTGTTTTCTCTCTCTCTAACAAAAATGCATTTGCTAAATTGCCGTCCTGCTTCTTGAGGCCTTCAGCTGCTCTATAATGAGTGGAACCCTTTGAAATAAAAAAGCTATTTTTCAAGTTACCAGGGGGGATGGAGACTCACAATTATGACAGACTGATTGATGGTCCCTTCAAAGACCACCATATCGGTTTTGAGTGCTAATGCCAAATTAATTCCACAAATTGCTGTGAAGAACCAGCAAAATCAATGGCTTTCTTTGGCAACTGCTTCCCAAAAGAGAAGAAGAAGAAAAACATCTGAAAGAACAGATCCAAAGCATATCCCGAACAATCTGGGAGAAACATCCTACACCAAAACAAAACAGTGACAGAACAACAGAACAGAGATGGATGCATACATAGGCTACATACTTTCATGGGGTTTTGCCATATAGGACCCACCCAAGTAAAATCACTCTTCATTTTTTTTATTTGTTTTAATTATTACTTTTTCTAATCCCTAATATTATTACAGTGCGTAGGCCCTATTCCTCAGTTTAATTCCCTGTAGACTAAAGACACAGTGACCGAAGTTGAGCAGCTCTGAGCAAAGATTCACGGACAAGCAACTTTTAGTTCAGTAATTGTTGATTCAGCGGCTCTGATAGATTAGGTGAGTTCATTCAATGAAGTATTCCTCAAAGTGATTCAAACCGGTAACTCCAGCTCGTGTTTTTTTTTAACGATTCATTTAAAGAACCACATCTTGAGAGTCATTTGTTCGTGAATCTATAATATAGCCTAATTACGTTTTAGCCTATGTTTAAAACGCGTGAGGAGCGCCGTCGCTTAAAAGCGGTGCTGGAGACACTGCCGTGGTCTACGAGAAATATGGAAATATGTAAGTAAAAGTTATGTTCACCAACAAACCTGTTCACTTAATTTGAGAACTTTGTGTTTTACGTCGGACACACCCGATTTGCAACCCGCCGCTATATCATTCATTTAGTGGCGCGCGGGCAAAAAAAGAATTGTTCTCCCCAATCGTGTGTCTTTTGTTTTGTTTTATTTAATTAACGCTAAATGAATAATATTAGTTGCTGGTAAATTAAGCGTTGGCCGTTAAAGGGCTTTGCAGAAACGAGTCATAGCTCCAATTATGTTAAAATACCAGTGGTAGGCTATTGCTAAAAGCGCTATTAGAAAGCATCTCTAGATTTGATTGTTAATCTATCAGGCTTTTGTCTGTTGTCTGTCTCCGTATCAGTAGAGATGTCGGTCCCCTTATAAGACACATGGCTAAAGGCAGACCTGAGGTCATCAACATGCTGGAA